ACACACCACCTAGCTAGCTACTTCTCTCATTACCGTCGTCCCCTCTCTTCCCTCACCTCCAACCATGACCCCTCTCTTCCTCCACATCCCCCACTCATGTCCCCTCTCTTCCTCATCCTCACTCGCAATTCCTCTCTATCTCTTCTCACTACCATTCATGACCCCCTCCCCCCCACAATCCCACTCGCTGAACTAACGCCAGACTGATATTCTTTGGTTCCTGCTACTGCCTATACTGGCGAACTCTTTCAATGGGATCAATAGAGAATTAAAAAAATGGAGTTGTTTGTATGTTCCTACCTATATATGGCGACCTGTGGTGTAATGGTCAGCATGCTCGCCTCGCAAGTGAGTGGACCCGGGTTCGATCCCCGGGCAAAGTGAAACTATGGGCAAGTTTCTTTGCGCCATTTGCCTCTGTCCCTCTGTCTACCCAGCGGTAATTGGGGATCTGGGTTGTAATCGATTTGTGGATCATGTTCCTGAGTAATGGTTAGCCAGAGCAGTTGGATTATTCCTTGACACTGGGTCATGCAGCTCGTTAACTCAGGTGTGATTGTTGTATCGGCGACAGCTTCTACACCTTAAACAAATTCACCCCTAGGCGGCCCTAGGACCGGCCATTATCGAAAACGATAGGCAACCATTATGTATTTATATATGTATGTGTATGTATGTTTGTGTGTATGTATGCATGCATGTATGTATGCATGTATGTAAATGATTTTTCTATCTCGATGACTTGTTTCCTCCCCCTCTGTTTCTCTCTCTTTCTTTTGGCCCTTGCATTCGCTTTCCCTTTTTCTTTACCTCTCTCTTTTTCCACGTTCCTTTCTTTCTCGCGTCTGCCTTCCTTTTTCTCTGTGTCTCCTTCCCATCCTTCTCCCATTTTCTCTTTAATTTTTCTCCCTTTTCTCTCGCTTTCTTTCTCTCCTCCATTCTTTCTCATCACAAGCACCATCTGATCTTCATCACACAGTCCACCAAAAGTCTGGTCCAAACGACTCCTTTGTTATAATATTGTCCGGGGTAGGAGGAGGCAGCAGCAAAGTCTTCAATTTTTAAACGTGTACTATTTTCTTTGTAACGGCGTGGAAGAAAGTATCTATCTCTCTCTTTTGAATGACATTATGAAACCTTTAACCGTTATTTTACTTAGTATAAATATTTGATGTGTAGTGAAATATTTATTGTAATATTTTTTTTTCGATAATTAGTTTTTCCTAGTGACAGCCGCTCAACTAACTCAACACAGCTAGGATAGCTACTTTTGTATTAGGATATTTAATTTTAAGGTAATAAAATGGCGGCGAAGGTATGGCTATTAGGGGAGGTTGGAGGCCATTTAAAAAACAAAAAAATAGTAGTAGTAGTGTATGTGTATGTACTGTATGTGAGTGTGTGTGCTTAAAGAATACTTTCATAGTTGTATCTCATGAGCCGAAGAAAATCATGATACTAATTATAAACGCTTTCATATCGACCTGAGTACTTCATGGGTGAGATATGCTCTTTATTTATTAATTGATCTGATATGAGACGGGCAGGTAGTAAATAACATTCCTCAGGTGTAATGAAGTTCTTTTGATTCTCTTTCTCTCTGTGGCTGTCTCTGGCTGTCTCTGTCTCTGTAGTTGTGTCTGTCTGTCTGTCTGTCTGTGTCTCTCTCGCTGTTTGTCTATCTATCTAGCTGTCTGTCTGTCTATCTAGCTGTCTGTCTGTCTGTCTGTCTCTCTCTAGCTGTTTCTGCCTGTCTGTTTGTCTGTTTCTTTCTAGCTGTCTCAATCTGCCTCTTTGTGTCCGTCTGTCTCTCGGCATATGTCATAATTTCTTTGTCTCTTTCTGTCTGTTTCAATTTAATCTTCTCTGTCTGCCACACCGCTATATTTCTTTTTTCCTTCTCTCTTTCAATTGTTTTGTTTATCTTCTCCATCTGTCGCATCTCTAACTCCATTTTTCTCTATCTTCCTCTGTCTTATTCTCTCACTATCGTTACCAGGGGTCAACACACCCAGTATAAACAGTATCTCCCCCACAAACACATCACTAGTGTACTCTCTGCTTGTTGTGTTTACATATTTTTTCCTCCTTAAAGACAGCAATTAAAAAAAAACCCCGATATCAACGAGGAGCACACGACCAAAACTTGTGATGAAATTTTCTATTGTGTTTACGATACTTCTACTGAGTTTATGAGGTTTCTCCTGTGTTTATGGTGCTTCTGTGTTTACGATACTTCTACTGAGTTTATGAGGTTTCTCCTGTGTTTATGGTGCCTAATCCGTGTTTATGGTATCTCACCTGTGTTTATGGTGCTTCTGTGTTTATGATGCTTCCGTGTTTATGGTGCTTCACCTGTGTTTATGGTGATTCAGTGTTCATGGTGCCTCAGCTGTGTTTATGGTGCTTCTGTGTTTCTGGTGCCTCACCTGTGTTTATGGTGCCTCAGCTGTGTTTATGGTGCTTCTCCTGTGTTTATGGTGCCTCAGCTGTGTTTATGGTGCTTCTCCTGTGTTTATGGAGCCTCAGCTGTGTTTATTGTGCTTTTGAGTTTATGGTGCTTCTCCTGTATTTATGGTGTTTCTGTGTTTATGGTGCTTTTGTGTTTACGGTGCCTCTCCAGTATTTATGGTGCCTCACCTGTGTTTATGATGTTTCTTCTGAGTTTACAGTACTTTTGTAGAATCTCGATTTAACTGTCATTAGTGTTTAACGTCGTTTCCTAAGTGAGAATGACTCTAAAGCTTTTACATCATATATATATATATATATATATATATATATATATATATATATATATATATATATATATATATATATATATATATATATATATATATATATATTACATTAATTTAGATTAATTTAGTCTTTTTTCTTCTATTTTTAATTTCTTTTTACTCTTATTTTTTCGCCCCGGGCCTTGTTGTGCCCGGGTGGGTTATTCCCCGTAAAAAAAAATAGCCCAAATTTCCGGAAATCACTGACATGTTTTTGGCAAATGTAATAGTCTATCATTTTTCAAGTGATGCTGAGAATAACCAATGGCCAGTTCTTAATGAAGACAATATAGTTTTGAGTTCAATGTGTGTACCTTGTACAGTCAGAGGCACTAATTTATAACCCCAGCCTCCCTCCTCCCAGTAGCCGGAGTTACAGCCATTGAAGGCTGATATTAACACAATGTAACGTCACCAGCCACTATAGTTCCAAAACTACCCAGCAATGTTTAGACAGGGGAGGGGGAGAAGGGAGAAGGGTTTGTTCGATCGTCAGGCTTTCACTTGCCGTGGCTCCGGGTAGGAAGGAAATGGTGCTTCTGACTGTACAAGGTGATCTTTATATTTTAGTTTTCTAACTAACTCATATTTAACGGGATAAACATATATATCTCACTGTGGATTTGATCACTAAAGCTGACGTTCATGTCATTGTGCATATTTACCAAGTATGACGATAGGAAAATTTACCCGCACCTGTACCTGAACCTGCACTTGTATCTGTACTTGCACCTGTACTCGAACCTGCACTTGTATCTGTACTTGTACCTGAACCTGCACCTCTATCTGCACTTGCACCTGTACCTGAACCTACCCCTGTATCTGTACTTGTACCTGAACCTGCACCTGTACCTGAACCTGCACCTGTACCTGAGCCTGCATCTGTATCTGTACTTGAACCTGCACCTGCATCTGTACTTGCACCTGTACCTGAACCTGTATCTATACTTTACCTGTACCTGAACCTGCATCTTTACCTGTACTTGTACCTGAACCTGCACCCGTATCTGAACTTACACCTGTACCTGCACCTTTATTTGCACTTGTACTTTCATCTGTACCTGCATTGGTATCTGAACCAGTGTTTGTATGTTTTGTTGTTCCTGAATCGACAAAAACAAAATCATATGTCTAATAATTATCAATATACGTAAAATTGAATTGTGAATGTTGTCTATATTTTCTGCGTGTGATTTCCATGTTTATCACCTTTGAGTGAGTAAATCTTACCTGCGTTACTCACACTAATACGCACCTGTACTGACTTGACTGTAGATGTTTTTTTTTTCACCATGGGAGATATGTTAACCAAGTATTGTAATAGCTTTATATATTTATTATCTTTGATTGGTATTATTTACGACCTGGGGATTATTTCCAATAGTATTATATGAAGTTGGCGTGATACTGTTTGTTTTTTACCTGCCCTGACCTGACTTGTGTGTGTGTGTGTGGCTCATGGATTTTATTTCCTATAGTATGGGCCATGTCAAATTGTATTCAGACAGATTATTTTATCGATGTATTATTAATTTGTATAATTTGTTCAGACAGATATATTTTTACTTGTGTCTTAATGTTAGGAAATGGTTGTCTAGAAGTTCTATTAATGTTATTATCTATCTTAGGAGTTTGGTATACAGGTGTACACTATGTTTAGAAATATTGGAATGATATTGTTATTTTGCATCAGATGTGTTTTTGTGGATATTTCTTCAGTAAAGCAGTGTTAACATCATATTTCTTTTTTTATGTTGTTTAAGATTTAAAATAATAATTTAATGACAAACATCGAAGTTAATGATATCACTTGTATTGTCTGCCCATCTCCCTTGACCAATAACTTGCGATAAAAAGTAACTGGGTGTACTGTATATATGTGTGTGTATTGTTTTCGTTCAGTTCAACTCATAATTTCCCCATCAAATTACCATTGATCATCGATTAACTCCGCTCTTATCATCTATGCATTACTCGTGTGCTGAAAATCAGATTATAAATGACATTAGTTCGTAAAAGTTAATAAATATATAAATTGCTTACTGTTGATGTTTTTGTTTTGTTTTTCACTTTGAGTGACATTGATACATACGTGAAGAAGTTGTCATATTTTCAAATATCACTTAATCTGATTTTGAGCACAATATCTTTTCAATGCCGAGTAACACATTTCACACATATAGATACATAAAATATACATGTACGGAGAATGGAAAATTATTTCAGAGTGCCAAGTTTATTCAACGATAATAAATATTTATGTACAAAACTTTAGAAACACATACATAGTTAAACATATGCACGTATACTGTACATATATGACTCATATTTACAGAATATTGTATCAGAGGATACCATCAAGGTACAACAAGGAGGACATCGTCACACCACCTCCTGATCCAAATGTATTGTTGAAAAATGTTTAACGCAGAAGGCCACTTATCAAGTATTTCTACAAGTCAGTCTGCTAGAAGACACCGAGGGAAGGCAAGGAACATCACATTTTATGCGTGCAACACTCCTGGTTTATTAGCTTTTAGAAGAGTCGCAGCAAGATTTGATCTGGACAAAAAATCTATCCAGCTAGACACTGATATACTGCTGGCTATCAAACGTATAGTTCAGCTCAAATTATTATTATTATTACCACGTGAGAAAAATATAACTTTTATAGAATTTCGGGTGAAAGATAAACTGTACTTTGTGTTTAACAAGAGAGAATTATCTACCCATGGGTCACAGATTATCTTTGGTGAGCTCATTATGTGTCATTAAAACATCTGACACATCCAAATGATCCAGCGAGTGAAAACACTTTAATCGACTTGATCGATTTCACTGGACAAAACTTTCACTGTCCCTTCCGGGAGTTCAGGCGGTACGGATACCAACCCTCAGCGACAAAAATACCACAAACCACTTAGTGTGTCTTAAACACACCACTTCGCGGTGAGCAGTTACAAGAGGCCGGTGGGGCAGCACTTAATAAATGTTCGATGTAGTTTTCCACAAGCACTCAATGCCGAGAAATATGCGATGTTTGCGAAGACCAGCTTCACTCTCGCTGGAAGTTCAACGTGTCCATGGTCCAGGGCGGGCCGACGGGTCCGCCTCGGCTGAAAATCAGTAGGCGAGTCCCAGGTATCTCGTCGAGCACTCGATAGGGAGTCCTGATAGTCCCCTGCGGTAGAAGTGGCGTGTGGGTGGCCTCAGAATTCGCTGCTGCGGCGACTTCTCCCTGCGGTCTCGCTCGACTTCTTTGTCGCACGTGAGAGAGAAGAGCGACCACGCCCGTCGGAACTGTGAGCGACGCCCTCGAGTTTCTGAGGTAACTGGTGGTGTCGTTGTTGTTGTGTTGGCAGTGGGGTTTTGTTCGGAGGACTTGGATGGTGGTGGAAGACTGACGGAGGCGCAGTAGTGGCCACGTTTCTCGCTGCTTGTAGAATCACGGTCGCTTCGACGTTCTTTTGAGCGACTGTGTCGATGACTATGTTCCTGACTGTTACTTGAGCTTATGGTGTGTTTGTCTGATGACTGTCGCTGCCAGTCTACCAATCTTTCAACGCTATTCACACCTATCCTGACGGCGGCTCCGGGCTTGGACTTGGGTGAAGTGAGACAGCCAACGCTTGCGTGGGGGCGGCCTGCCTGCTCCCCTGCTGGGCTGTACCAACACTCGTCCGAAAACCTCAGTAATTTCTGTCCCGGAGCCAGAGTACAGGGGGTGGACTGTGCATGCGTGTCATGGAAATGTTGTGTTCGCTGCCGACCCTCCGCCGAGACTTCCCTCCTGCTGACAATCGACTTGGTTGACACCGTCGGGGAATCATGCTGACTGAAGTCGAAACTCTCCATTCTCTGCAGTTTTCTCCGCTGTTTTTTCTGGCCGGATGTTTCGTGGCTGGGATAAGTAATGCTCCTGAACTTCATTGCGATCTTGTTAGTGGCCATGATAACGGAACAAAGCACTTCCTTTTATCACGTAAGTGAATCAACTTTATAAGAAGTCTCTCTTGTGTCGAGTCAGTAGTCGTCACGAGCCCAAGTGGTCTGGACGCTATCCCACAGCAAGCGCTCTTGATGTGTGCACAGCATCCCTCCCTTTATATGAGCGAGCTGGTCGCCACGCCCCCATGCGTCGTGTAGGTTGCCATTGCGTGACAGCGTTCTCTTTAGCTTACGTGCTCTGTAGGTCGTAGTAGGTTAAGAGAGAACGACAACCTAGGCTAGAAACTTCTAAACACAAACCATATATTTTGATTATTAATGAAACAAGCCCAACAGTACCACTGCAGTTAGCAAATTCGGTGATTCTCTTTGGTCAACACGTTATTTCTATCAAACTGTTTATTCTCTAATAATGTATCTATTCTTTATAAAGTTAAGTTTCTCCCGCAACAGTTTTCTTTGGATAGGGGAGAACATTCTTGCTACAGGTTAGTGGTGGTGGGCAGTGCCAGCCGAGTGCACCACCGCCATCTGCGCACCTCACTACAACGCAACAGTGTGCTGACAGGAGGTCGTGATACCAGGGTGGCCACTTGTTGCTCCTTACACCTGTGATAGAAGTAACTTGTAACTACTCTCAGGGCTACTTCTACTGCTACACTTTTTCTAATGCTATTCCTCCTTTTACGTCTGTTACTCACTGTTTACTGTTTCTGCTGTTATTATTGCTATGTTTATTATCGCTTCTTCTCCTGCTGCTTATTCTGATTATCATAACTAGACTCGACAAAGGGAATGCTTCTATACAAGGGTGATTATCATACAATATCAAATACCTAAGGATACTTAAAGGTCGATAACGAAATTAATGAAGTCACGTAATCAAAAGTATTCGTATCTGGGGCTGCTCGGTCACCTTTAGTGTATAGACTGCCAAGGGTACAGAAAGATGGCTATTTCGCTCTTCCAATACTCTGTGTAATATATACATTTTATAATAATTTACCGATATGTTTAGTGCCCCTTTAAATTCTCCTCTGCCATACCTGTCCAATACAAAAGGAACTTAATATCCGCCAGCTTAGTCACCAAAGGCTTAAAACATCTTTAAAGACTATCTCAAACATCACCTTGGTCGATGCTCACAGAGGGAACCACTAAGCTACTCCAACCACACGTTGAGGTAACTATTGGTAATACAGCTATTGTTTATCAGCTCATGCCCTCAGGAAGGAACTTAACAACTAGTATTAAGATGAAGGAACACTACAGAGGCAAAGGTCGAACCAACGACAAATGAGAGTTAAGAGTATCGACCTAGTGGACCACTTATATAACACATGAATTATTGTTCAAACCATCGTACTCAGCTGTCAGAGACAAGTATGTTGACACTTTGTATAAAAAAAAAACAGTTCAGACTTCATCATCCTTACCACTTGCTCCGACGACATGTCACGGGTCACAACCAATAAGAGCATAAAAACATAAGAAAATAAGGAGTCTGCACCCATGAGTCCTGGACTGTTTTACTGTATTTATAATCACAATGTATTTTTTTAACTGGATTAGCCCACCAGGGCACAGGTCAATGACCTACATCAGGGCCTGTGGACGAAAATATAATAATAATAATAATAATAATAATAATAATAATAATAATAATAATAATTAATAAGAAGAAGTGAGAAGCGATATACTGTATGTATTCTGTGCTGTTAATAGTAAGAGAAACAATTGAAACCCTGCAATTGTATGTAAATGAAGCAGAAAGTCAGATCAGCAACCTGGGACTTGGTCACAATTTTCGTGATGCCATACAGCAGCAGGGTCCACCATTAGACAATACATTATGCTTCCAATATCTTCCCAGGCGGTAGTACCTCCCTGTTTGTTAGCTGCCTACTACCTCCTGCCTAAAATTCTCTCTAGTATTAAGCTCTGAATATATCTGTTACTACTTTTAATTATGCTCACGATGTTAATTTGTTAGTAATTAACATTTTCATGTGTTAGTGTTCACTTATATTTGTTCAACGTGTTGCTGATTAATGTATCCATGATGTGACTGATTTTAAGTACCACAAGTAAATTTTAATATCTATGCGATTACATTTTAGGTCTGATGATGATTACATATACCATTGAAACGTTAATAAGTAAATATGTTGCTGTTTATCTGCACGATGGTCCTCTTATTCTTCACACACACACACACACACATTGTTTCCCTTTTTCCTGTGTGAATTTATCAAGACACACACATTATACACACATATATATATATATATATATTCATAAAATCACACGGGAAAAGGGAAACAACGGAGCACCTTAGCTTTCGTCTTTATTCAAGACATCTTCAGAGGCCTCTGAAGATGTCTTGAATAAAGACGAAAGCTAAGGTACTCCGTTGTTTCCCTTTTCCCGTGTGATTTTATCAAGATTTATTTATCTTATCCACGTTTTCATTGTGGATCTACATGAAATATATATATATATATATATATATATATATATATATATATATATATATATATATATATATATATATATATATATATATATATATATAAACCTTTTTCTTCTAAAAGAAGTAGAACGTCTTATATCCTCTGATTGAATGTCTTCTGTTTCAGAAAAAAATTGAAACATGCATCAAGTACACGTCACACGATGGCTGACCACACCTGAACCACAACTGACCCCTGTACAGGAACGACTTCACCTTCAGGCGGAAATTACGAAGAGAAGAGGAGATCAGTGACAGAATAATCAGGTTAGTTACACTATAGAGTGACTCCCTCTCAGCAGGTGACTCCCTCTCAGCAGGTGACGCCCTCTCTGCAGGAGACTTCTCAGCAGATTACTCCCTCCCCATTGGTGACTCCCTCCCAGCAGGTGACTTTCTCCCCACAGGTGACTCCCTCTCAGCAGGTGACTCCCTCTCAGCAGATGACTCCCTCTTCGCAGGTGACTCCCTCCCCACAGGTGACGCCCTCTCAGCAGGTGACTCCCTCTCAGCAGGTGACTCCCTCCCCACAAGTGACTCCCTCCAAGCAGGTGAATCCCTCTCCACAGGTGACTCACTCTCAGCAGGTGATTCCCTCCCCACAGGTGACTCCCTCTCAGGAGGTGACTCCCTCTCAGCAGGTGAATCTTTCCCCAGCAACATGTCTTGAGGTATCTTTCTCTAATTAACATTGTTGGTCTCATTATCTTTTTTCTCATTTTCTCCCGCTCAAGGTGGACGGTGGGGTGATATAGAAAATGTGTAATGAGTAGGAAGGAAGACAACTAAAGAAAAATAATCTCTATGAATAGGATAAAAGTCTTATTTCAATCTTATAACCGCAGCAGTAGACACAGCCGTCTATATGGTCATTTGGGGGGCATTTCTCTTGTCTTTTTTGATTATATATCATTGTCTTTCATCCATCTTGATTTTCTTATTCGTTCCTGTGTCTATTTATCCTATACCTTTAATTTTATTCATAATTATTATATACTATTGATTCCGTCTATAAAATTCTTTCTCTTTGTCTTCAGCTTTACATTCTATTCGTTGTTCATTGTTTTTATTCCTCTCTTTATTGCGTTATGTATCTTGTTGGTGTTTTCATCTTCCTTTCGGTTTATTTGTATCATTCTAGTTAAAATATGATAGCTGCTGTAATTCATTTCAGTGTTTACAATTTTTGACGTGCTCTATCTTGTAATTCTATAGTAATGTTGATAAAGTTGTCAGCAGAAACATGGGTATAGGAAATATCGGAGGTAACGCAAACAATACCGAACGTTCTAATGACTATTACTTTCTACTTCAGCTGTATGTTTTATTTTATCGTATCTTTTATTATTAATCTACTATATTCTACTTTCTACGTCTACTGTTACGTAATGTTGATATCTACCTTCCATTTTCTACTTTACGTTTTATTTATTTCAATGTTTATCTCTGGTTAATATTTTCTTTAACTTTAACGAACGCACGCACGCAAACACGCACTCACGCACGCACGCACGCACGCACGCACACACAGAGAGGGGGCAAGACAGCGTCAAGATAATCTAGTAGAGATCTTACAACTTTAATTTTTCCTTTGCGTCGCAGCTGAAGGGAAAGTGTTTCTCTGAAGTTCTGATTGTCCTCACTGTGAAGGATTATATAAGACTCGTTGCCTGGACTCTCCTTTTTTATCATAGGACTAAGTTCTTGGAGTCTCATTTTACATTATAAGACTCAACGTTGTTTCTTGGTGGGTGTGAATTCTCTCTAAATCTAGCTCTCTCTTTCCATTTCCTCTCTCTCTCTCTCACTCTTTCTTTCCCTCTTTCTTTTTCCCTCCCTCCCTCTCTCTCTTCTTCCCTCCCCCTTTGTCTTTTTCTCTCCCTCTCTCTATTTTTCCTCTCTCTTTCCCTGCCCCTTGCTCAAGCTATCTTACTCCAAGGACGAAGGTATTACTAAGACCTTAGAGAGAGAGAGAGAGAGAGAGAGAGAGAGAGAGAGAGAGCGTGCGCGCGTGCGTGCGTGCGTGCGTGTGCGTGTAATAATAATAATAATAATAATAATAATTAACGGTTTATTGAAAGAGCTTGGCAGCCAGAAGGCTGAAAATATACAGTTACATATTTGGGGAATGGGTTTCGAATTACAAATAATATACAAGTAACATAAGTGATACAAATAAGATATATAATAACTAGATGGGGAAAAGCTCAAACTACAGTGCATTTCAACATAGTGACAGTGCAAGAAGTAGTATTTACTGGGAGTGAATACACTGGTTTATTACAAGTGATTGATAATTTTTACAATGGTTGGGACTGGGCTGTTCTTATAGCGATCAGTTCGGGCACGTATGGGCTGGATGCGGTTGTGGTGTCGAACAGCAATTCTCGGGCTAGGGATCTCAGGTGGTAGTAGGAGCCGGTGTCGAGGATGGTGTAGAAGCTTCTTACCAAATTTGCAGATGAGGTCGTGGTGATGGTCAGTGAGAGTCGAAAGGGTCAGTGTGTTGAGCGCTTCTTGATATGTGGAGTAGGAAGGGGAGAGAATAATCTTGCATGCCCTCTTTTGCACTTTTTCTAGGTGTTTACGTTGTGTGTGTGCGTGCGTGCGTCCGTGTGTGCGTGTGTGTG